CCAGTGTGCTTAGCCCTGGGGATCGCCCCCACCCTGCCAAGCAGGCATTCCACAGTGGGAGTGATTCCCAGTCTAGCCTCACTTTCCTCTGCTTCAGGTGCGCTCAGCAAGCCTTCCTGTATGTGGTGGGCCCTTGGTTTCCCTAATACAGATTTATGGTCCCCTTAAGGCTTTCTCCTACAAGATGGCCTCCTTTCAAGAACCTAAACTTTCTTTCTGGGTCTTTCCACTGTTTCCAGTGAAACAGGGGCTTGTTCTAAAGCTTTTCCTAATAGTTAGATCATCTTCTGCGTCCGTCTAAGTGCAAGGGTGAGAGAGAATCCTTCCTCCTCCTTCTGTCTGTTGTCCACCACACTTCAATTTCCCTGTAAGGTAGATACAGTCCTTAGTTCACAGACTAGGAAACTTAGGCTCAGAGAGGGTAAATGACCTCCTTAGGGTCGCACAACTACAAATTTGCTGTCAGGAATAGGGCCTGATCTGGATGATTCCATGGCTCAAAGTAAGACAACCTGTACCTCCCTCTCCTACATGCTCATCGGTGGCTTCCTCCTTTCCGGCCTCTACTCTGCTCAGCACTGCTAGTGAGTGGCTCCCAGGTGCCTCCTCCTTTGCTGTCTATCCTGAACAGGCTGCCCCTAGTTCTGCACCTGCCCCTCCTGTATAAGCAGCTTGAGCCCCTCCTCTGTTGGCTGCCAGCTTTCAACATCTCACCCCGCCTCCCCATTGTTTGTGATTCTCCTTTATGCCTCCCAGGTCTCAGCTTTCCCCATTCCCCTGAAATTTCCGTCTCCCACGTTCCTGGTGGAGTCCCGCAGGGCTGGGTGGCTTGTCACTGCATGTGTCTCTTCAACTTTTTCCTAAGTCCCACCCCTCAGAAAGCTCCAAAACCACCACACCTGTCCCTGCCGTGGCCTGCCTGTGACAGCCACATCTCCAGGGTCAGTTCTGGGGTGTGTGTGTGAGTCCTTGGGGTTGGAGGTACTCTGGCTTTCTGTTATCCAGCATTGATAGGTGTACCCCTCAAGTGCAGGGAACTATGTGGGAGGCTGGGGTAAGCAGGGGTGCTGGGAGGGCACCCAAAGACATGGAGGACTTAGTCTTGCTTTTAAAAGGCTTACAGAGTAATTGAGGGACCAGCAAACACATACACACACACATGTGCACACACACACACACGCACATGCACACACATGTGAAAATGAGCCCATTGGTATATAAATATTCACTTGAATCAGGCGGCAACTGAGTTTAGAAAAAGAAACCAACGGAGCAGCTGAGTAGTGTGAATCGAGGAAAACTCCCTGGAGGAGCAGAGGAGATGTAGGCATTGCCCTCAAGGCCTGATGGACCAAAACCAGATTCAGGTCCACATGCTCAGGAATTGAAACCTTAGGTGGCTCCAGATCTAGACTATAGGCAGGAGTTTGAAGAGAGTTGCCAAGGCAACTGGAAGGCTTTTCAGGGAAAAGAAGAGTAAAGGTGGGTTTGGAAGATGGAGAGGAACAGAGAAAAAGGGAAGAAGAGGACTGACTAGTCTCAGCAAAGCATGGGAGCAGAAAAGTCAGGTGTAAGGCTTGATGAGAAGGTGATCAGAAAAGCTGTAGGTGATGCAGGTCAATGATATGAAGAGGCCCACGGGACGAGGGCAGGCATGTCCTCGGAGTCTGATAAACCTGGCTTGTCAGTTACCACCTGAGGGACGTTGGGCATGTATCTGTGAACCTAAGTTGCCTTTCCTTTAAAATGAGGCTAATGAATACCACTTTGTGGACTTTTTGTGATGTTTAAATAAGATGTAGCTCCTTGCACATGGTTGTTTTCTGTCGATATTAATGTCTCTTTCATTTTGTCTTTATTTTCATTTTGCCTTTATTTTGTAAATTTAGAGTACGCAAATAAGCCAGGATTGAGAGTGTGTGGTTAACACCTTTCTCCCACTTTAAAATCATCACACCCCCTCCACAATCCTGGGGACATCTCAGAAAATGATGAGCTTGGTTAACTGGCAGCAGGGCAGTTTCCAGCCCTATTGGATTGCCTCAAAAGTAAGCAGTGGAAAGAGAATAGGAGTTTGGTTCAGAAATTGGAGGATCCCCAGGCATTGATTGCATGACTTGGGAGACGTTTCTTTGACTTCTTTGGTTCTGGTTTCTCACTTCTCTGATAGGTAGATTAGATGGTAAGGATCTTTGAGTTCCTGCAGATGGGGACATTCTGTGATTCTTGGTGCATTCATTTATGAGAACCAGTTCCAGTTGCTTTTCCTTGAGCCTCTTCTCCAGTTTAGGAGGAAGAACACTTGCATTGAAACCAGAAAGCTCAGGTTCCTGTACCCATGTGTCTTTTCCTAGCTGCAGTGTCTAAGCAAGTCATTTAATCCCTCTGATCCTCAGTCTTCTGTTTTGTAAAATGGGTTGAAAATAGCTTGACTGTCTAGTTCTCAGGGCTCTTATAGGGAGAGTGTTTGTGTATGTCCTTGGTGAGGTGAGCTATGCAAATATAAGCCAATGGTGATTTTTATGTCTTCTGGTTCCTTCTAGTTCCTGTGTCTTTTCCTCCTCATGGTAGCAGCTAGAGCAAGTCATAAAGCTCTGCAAATTTCTATTGATTACCTGACCTTCCACCTCTTTGATTTTTCTCTCTGTCAGTTTCTTAGTTTGAGGATGGAAGCATGAATCACTGCAAAGATCTGCTTTTGGCTGGCAGAGGTGAGAGAATGAATACACACATGCACACATATACATGTGCACACCCCTCCAAAATGCTAGAAGGAATCAATTGCGCAGAGTGATACATCTCATCCTCAAGGGAGTGTGCTGAACTAAAATAATTTTGTTTGCCTGTCAGAAGGCAATTAGGCAACAGTCATTACCACACCAAGATTGTCCCAAGTTGTTCCATTGTTCCTACTTAGGAACAAGATCTGGATTACTCATCCCCTATAGAGATAGTTGGCTTAGCAGCCCAAGGATGTTGGTGTTAGGACAGTTTCAGACAACAGTGGCATGGAGATGGCGGGGAAGGAGGGGGAGCAGTAGAGAGGTGAGGGGCATTTTCTGGAGGAGGGTGTAGGGCAAAAACTGTGGGAGAAGAGGAGAGGCAAGTCTCAGCGGCTGCAGAGAGCAGACACTCAGCTGTCTTGGTTCAGAACCATAGGGCAACAGGACCAGATAGTCTTCACAGATTCCTCTTTCCCTGTATATCTTGTATTCCACAGTGGAGACCACCCACACAGGTCTATGATTCACCGCTTAGAGTTGCTTAGAGCTTGCTGAAATTGGCACTGGCTTCTCCACACTGAATCTTCAATTCTATATTTATATGCAAGTGTGAGGAGCACACCAGGCTTCTAAAAAGTCTCAGAATGAAAGTCTGTGTGGGCTTCGGGTCGTTCCAAATTTCAATGTTACTATTTCCCATTAAGATTGATCAAATGCTGCTCTCCAGGAAGGGTTCTGGGATTTCCTGGCCCATCGCAGTGCATGCTGGGTACTCTTGCACCTGGATGGAAGCAAAATCTCCCCACGAACTTTGCACCTCTCATCTTCCCTTCTCAGAGTGAACTGAAGAAACATTTTCCAAGAGTGTATCTGGAGCCAAGGATTCAAAGGGATAAAATGGGCCTTCTGCAGCTCTCTGAAGTGGGACAGTTCCCATGCTGTCTGGCTTTACACAGTGAGCAAGCAGCACACCCCGACTTCTGTTGCTGTGCTATCATACACTGGTTATAACACACTGGTTAGGATCTTGCACACTGTAGCTCAGCATCTTTGGTTCAAATCTCAGCCATGCCACCTACCATCTAGGTAAACTTGGGCAGGCTATTCAGCCTCTGTGCCTCAGTTTCCTCATTTTAAAGATGGGTAGCATAATAGTACCAATCTCAAAGTTGTGAAAATCAAGTAAGTTAATACATACAGAATATGTAGAACAGTGCCTGGTACATGGTCATTTTTTTTAATTAGTTTCAGGTGTACAAAGCAACATAATAGTTAGACATTTACACCCCTCACATGACAAGTTTTTGTTACATGTTAGCTATTATTATTGTTATTGTTATTATTATTATTACTTTTGCCATGACTATTGTCCAGAAACAATTTTAGCTTCTCAGATCAGGCTTCCCAGACTGCCTTCTAAATCTGCATTCATTTCTCCATATAGTCTAGTGTGAGGCTTGAACCACCTGTCAAGTCATACCTCCAGCCCTTTGCTTTATAAAGTGTATAAAATAGCTTCTATTTGCTCATCTCACTGCTTTATATGCTTTGTGATGCCTTTGTTTGCACCTGTTTTCTGTTGCTGGTGTCTCTTTGAGGAAAAGGAACAACCGGAAAATTTAGAAAAGAACATGTCTCTCCCTTCTGGTCCTTCCAGCTCACCTGCCCATCCATCCTGTTTGATGACAGCTTCTCCTCCTCTAATATTAATGCAGTGCACTTGTAAAGCTAACGTTTAATAAAAATAATTTATTTTGATTGTTCACTTATTCAAGCTCTGACTTTGTGTCAGGAGATATAACTTGGTGAGCTCTGGGGTTTGGAGGGCAGATCTTAGAAATGGGTCAGAGAGCTCCTTCTGAGAGTCAAGTGTGGGGAACTGCACCTGCCATTCCTGAGGAGAGAATGTCTCAGTAGTTTACAAGGGCAAGGCAAGAATGGGAACTTGCATATCTTTCTGACAGGAGGTTATGAAATCCTATCAAGAAGTACCAGGTGGCAGACGTGGGGTCCTATTTTCCCAAAGTCGCAAGCACTTGAAGAAAGATTTTGTCTGATAAAACGATTACTACATGAGAAATCTTGCACGCATAGCAATTTTGAGAACCATCCCGGGAGCGAGGTGTGTTGTGTTGATTGTATTGTTGAGGCTCGTAAAAATCTTGTATGGCTGCAGGCAAGCCAAACCTTTGAGTGGCGCTGCATCCCGCTGACTCGAGGACCAAGCCCAATCACTCCCTGTATATAAGAGGAAGTCTCTGTGCTTGGGATAGAGGAGAGTTAGCTCCTTCCCTTTCTCTACTTTGCTCCTACTCTCTCTCAGTCAACATGAGTCGCCACTTTAGTTCCAGGTCTGGGTACCGGAGTGGAGGAGGCTTCAGCTCTGGGTCTGCCGGGGTGGTCAGCTTACAGCGCAGGACCACCAGCGGCTCCATGCGCCGCAGTGGAGGAGGTGGTGGGAGATTTTCAGGTGGAGGATGTGGTGGTGGGAGTGCTGGTGGCGGCTTTGGAAGTCGGAGTCTTGTGAATCTTGGTGGCAGTAAAAGTATCTCCATCAGTGTGGCTGGAGGAGGTAGACGTAGTGGTTTTGGTGGTGGTTATGGTGGCAGTGGCTTTGGAGGTGGCGGTTTTGGTGGTAGTGGCTTTGGGGGTGGTTTTGGCAGTGGTGGTTTCGGTGGTGGCTTTGGCAGTGGAGGTGGTTTTGGTGGTGGTGGCTTTGGCAGTGGAGGTGGTTTTGGTGGCGGTGGCTTTGGGGGTAGTTTTGGACCTGTCTGCCCCCCTGGTGGCATACAGGAAGTCACCATCAACCAGAGCCTCCTGCAACCTCTCAATGTGGAAATTGACCCTGAGATCCAAAAAGTAAAGTCTCAAGAAAGGGAGCAAATCAAGTCACTCAACAACCAATTTGCTTCCTTCATTGACAAGGTGAGTTGATCTGCTCAGTGCACCAGGAGCGCTGTTCCTGGTCCATTTGAAATTGGCACAGCCAAGACAAGTTTGGGTTTGAGTCTCAACTTTCTGTGTTTAGATGATTCAAATGTATTTTGTGGAACTGTCTTCTAGGAGATATGTTAGAAATATGCTTGTGAATGATGCTAATGACAACTCTCTTTGACAAAGGGGTCTGTGGGCTACGTAAACGTGTGCCAATTTGACATCACCTTGATGTGTTTTTTAAATTCAGCCCTTGAGCTGAATTGGGACTCACATATGTTGACTGAAGATAACAGAAAAGAGGCTAACTCAACCTCTAGGGTGCAAATGAGAGCCCTGGAAAAGTCTTCCTAACTATAAAAAGGGAGTTGAGTGTAAACAGAGTGCAATGGATATTGTAGCAGAAAGCATATAGTCAGTGCCAAACATCTTTTGCTCTCAGAAAGAGAAGTCTGCCCTCTGAGAATTTGACACTGGTCCAAGATCAGGGTCAAGATATTTTTATACTTATACTTCCAAGTATCTGTTCTGGAAAAACATGTAAACCATTTTATACTTTTTGCTTAATCATCAATCATGCCAACTCAAGTTATCCATGGTAGATTTGGAATTCAATTTTGGATTTCCCCAATATATGTTAGAACTGTGTGTATGCTCAGGGAAGGCAAACCAATTTTTATGGCAACCTACCCCCAAAAAAATCGGAAGGCAAATCTCTTATGTGTTGTGTACCTGTTTCAAAGTGTAACTGCAGTAATTTTTCTTTTATGTGCTTTGCTATTGGGTTTTTGTGCAGCTACTCCCTTCTAAAGTTCCAACTGAAATAGTACTATAACCGCCATTCTCAGGGAAATGAATGCTTCACTGAATTAACAGTGAGTTGGGTTTTGCAATGAAGATGATACGAACTTGATCATCTTCTTCCTATTTTTCTGTTTGTCGTGGCCAGGAAAACAGGAATTGAAGTTCTTTTCTAAGTGAGGTATGGCCTTGCTGTGTGGTAGCCCTTGGTGCTCAGTGGCCATAGGACTCCACTTCTGCACCAGTGAGTAATGGGGTCTTGTGTTTTTAGGTGAGGTTCCTGGAGCAGCAGAACCAAGTGCTGCAAACAAAATGGGAGCTGCTGCAGCAGGTAGATACCTCCACTAGGACTCACAGCTTAGAGCCCTACTTTGAATCATATATCAACAATCTTAGAAAGAGAGTGGACCAACTGAAGGGTGACCAATCTCGGATGGATACGGAATTGAAGAACATGCAAGACCTGGTGGAAGATTACCGGAACAAGTAAGGAAAGCTGGCTGGGCGATTTTTGACTTTTGTTCTAAAATATTTCCAGACAGTGGCATGCTAAGACTATGAACAGTATGCAACAATGTCTTGTCTTTGGTTACAGGCAAATCAATCTGGCATTTTCAGATATCTTCATCTTTTCAGAAGCTAGAAAGAGCTTAATGGTTTTTATTGCTCCGAAGAAAGGGGTGGCCAACATGTCCTAGGTTTATAATAGAAAAGCAATGACAGGCAGTGCCAATTTTAGTCTAGAAAGCAGACTTCGGAGCTCACCTTCTCTGAATTCACTTCTGATTTTCTTGCAGATATGAAGAAGAGATCAACAAACGGACTAATGCAGAGAATGAATTTGTGACCATCAAAAAGGTGAGCAAATTCTGTAGGATGGACCTCATATCTGAAATAAACAATAGAAGAGGGTCTCTAATTACTAAGCAGAAAGAAATCATGATGTGGAGAACCAGGTAGTGGGCCTGATGAACAGCTGAAGTAGAGTTTTTCTCCCCCACATTAGCATGAACCTGGATTTATCCAGGCACGCTACTTCTCCACATCCCTCAGCACTTCATGTAGTAAGTGGGGAGGCAAGTTCTCAGCAAGTCAGGCAACTCCTTTGTGATTGTGATCCCAGGGGTGGGGCGATTTAGGGATTGTGTCCACCTGTGATATAAAGGTGTGGAGTAGGCCCCAAACACATTTTCCACATGGAAAATCCCCTCACAGCTGGTGAGAGGGACTTGCCCTGGAAAGACTATGACTTCATGATGTCTATTGTTCCTCTAGGATGTGGATGGTGCTTATATGACCAAGGTGGACCTTCAGGCCAAAGTTGACAACTTGCAGCAAGAAATAGATTTCCTTACAATGCTCTACCAACTGGTAAGTCCTCTAATTTCAACCATGTTTACCCAAATGGAGAGCTTTTAAGCCTGAACCCACCACTATCCAGAAGAATAAAAATACACCTTCCATCTCATGACCCTTTCCTCTGGCTAAGGTGTTTTTTGTGTTAACACTATAAGAGTCACTGAACTATTATATCTTGCAGGAGCTGTCTCAGATGCAGACTCATATCAGTGAAACCAATGTCATCCTCTCCATGGACAATAACCGCAACCTGGACCTGGACAGCATCATTGCCGAGGTCAAGGTCCAATATGAGGAGATTGCTCAGAAGAGCAAGGCTGAGGCTGAGGCCCTGTACCAGACTAAGGTGAATGGGCTGAATGTCTGGCCAGGTTTCCTGAAATGTCTTGTCTTGCTATCCTGTGTTTTCTCTTATATATGTATGCATGAGCCATAGAGTACTCTGCCACATCTAATTGACTTGATCCACGATCTTTAGTATGAAGAGCTCCAGGTCACTGCTGGCAAACATGGGGACAGTTTGAAAGATTCAAAGATGGAGATTTCAGAGCTGAACCGGATAATCCAGAGACTTAGATCTGAAATTGACAGTGTCAAGAAACAGGTACTTGCTTCCACCTGCTACTGGAATGGGGAAGGGAGGACCCAAAGGTAATTAATTAGAGGGCACTTTTCTAGTTTTTAATATTTCAGTTCATACCGAGGTTATCTTATTATTCCTAGTTCTTTTGGTGACTATACTGATTTCCAGAATTCAGCCATCACTTAGGGTTCTCTTTAAGGAAACTTGTGAAAAATGACCTAGTAGAGAAATAGAAGTGATGGTCATGAGTGATCTAGCCCATGATCCAAAGTGAGACTTAAGAGGTGGTGAATGAGAGGAAAGGCAGCTAGAAGGTTTCAGGGTAGGCATTTAAAAGAATGTCAAGGGGTAGAGGAGCCTTGGCTTATGGCCAAGAGAGGCTGCTGCATCACTTGTAGGGGCTTTTAAGGAAGTCAACATGGCGGTATGCTATCTGGAAGGAGAATACGTGAGATGACTTAAGCTCTCATGGTTCTGCTGGATCTAGCGTATAGGCCTCACAGGGGTGAAGAGATCAATTTGAGCTAAGAAGGCCAAGGTGGGATTAGGTAATAGGAGAGTGTAATGTGCTGGATTCTCCTTTCTCAGATATCTGGGCTGCAGCAGTCCATCAGTGATGCTGAACAACGTGGTGACAATGCCCTCAAAGATGCCCAGGGCAAGCTGAATGAGCTGGAGGATGCCCTGCAGAAGGCCAAGGAGGACATGGCCCGCCTGCTGCGTGACTACCAGGACCTGATGACCACCAAGCTGGCCCTGGACGTGGAGATTGCCACCTACAGGACCCTCCTGGAAGGAGAGGAGAGCAGGTGAAAAAGGGACCCTGGATAGTTTGGCACCTCTTATGTGCTTCCTCCCTTGCAAGCTGGCTGCTGTTGAAGATGCAAACATGTGACTGCAGCTTGTCCTGGTATGGGGAAAGGAAAGGTTCATGGTGCAGGGAGAAAGACTGAGTTTCACTTTGGGAACCAGAGACCCACACTTTTCTCTTTTGAGGGCTATAGCATCCTTATGAAGTGCTTTGAGATGGAGAAATCTATTCTTTATCTGGGTTGGCTCAGATATCACCTGGCCTAAAGTCAATGCCTTTAAAGGAAACACGCCATTAGCTGCAAGGCTTGTCTAATTTATATGGAGATTTCTCCCTGTGTGTGAAAACCATATCAGAGGTTTGGGAGGCAGAGGAGACTGGATTAGGTTTCTGATCAAGGGGAAGCCCCAGACAGGGAGCTTTGGGATGGCGGAGGGAGCTTGGGGAAGAGGGTTGTCAACGTGTCTGTTCCCCTTCCCCGATTTCCCAACGCTGTTCCCCTCCTCCAATTCCCCAATAAAATCTTAAAACGAAAACAAGAAGGAAAAAAGTTTGTGAAGCTGGAGAGTGATGAGGGATTTGTTATTCCTTCTCTTACAGGATGTCTGGAGAGTGTGCCCCCAACGTGAGTGTGTGTAAGTACAAGCTGATTTCTCAGGGGCCTGTGAGGTTTTGCTGGGTTGGAAAGGGAGCTAGGTTTGAAGGTAACTGAGTGTTCCCTTGCAGCTGTGAGCACCAGCCATACCAGCGCCAGTGGAGGTGGTGGCCGAGGAGGCGGCGGTTACCGTTCCGGCGGCGGCGGCGGGGGTAGCTACGGCTCCGGAGGGGGCAGTTATGGTTCCGGAGGTGGCGGCGGCAGCTACGGCTCTGGAGGAGGCAGCTACGGCTCCGGTGGTGGTGGCGGCGGCAGCTATGGCTCCGGAGGTGGCGGCGGCGGCAGCGGCAGCTACGGCGCCGGAGGCAGCAGTGGGGGACACAGAGGCGGTTCCGGAGGGCAGAGCGGCAGCTCTGGCGGCAGGGGTGCTGGCGGCGGGGGGAGCTCTGGAGGCAGCTTGGGTTCCTCCGGAGGCCGGGGATCCAGCTCTGGGGGCACCAAGACCTCTGGTGGCAGTTCCAGCGTGAAGTTTATTTCCAGCAGCTATTCCCGAGGGACCAGATAAAGAGGCACTCTCTATACTGTTGGCTCTCCCTCTTCATCATTACCAAATATGCTCGGCAAGACCAAGGTCAATTGTCCCAGCCTTATTGGATTAAAAAGCTATGATTAATCACTTTAGTTGATCATCCCTCCCTGGCTCTGTCCTTTCTGCTCTGCTTCCCAAAGAAATTTTTATCAGTGGCAAGCTAGGTCTCTCGCAATGACCCTGCTTTGTTCTTTGCCTCAGAAACAGTTCAGTCATCACCACCACACACGTTACATTTCAAAGCACCTTCTAAATCAGCCAGAGGCGGGCTGATTAAGATCCACTGCTTCGTTGTCATGCACGGGGCAGACATGCTCTGGACAGCTCCTTACTATGCTATCTCTTGCAGCAAGCTCTGTGCTGCTTTGGTTTTTGTACATACGGTGTAAGCAAGTTGACTGTCTTTTGAGGAGAGGTCTTAAACTCCCATTTCCTTGTGTAGCTTCAATAAACTGCATTTGAAATTCTCTATGAGTCTTAAACCTTTTTGCTCATGGCACTGTCTATCCAGGATGGGTGCGTTGTGTGTGTGTGGGGGGGAAGAAGACCCTAGAGCCACATGGCCTATGGGGGAGTTGGGACACATGACCATGAGCAAGATGGGAGACTGGTCGTGCAACTTTAGCTTTAAACATTTAACTAGAACAAGCTCTTTCCCAGAGGGTGGAGATGTTATGGAGAAATGGAAAGACTAGGGTAGCAGGTTCTATTCATCTGAGGAGGTTTTCTTGAAAGGGGCAGTGAGCAATCAGGTTGGGAAGGAGTTCAGCATTGCGAAGAGGGCAAGGTATTGCATGGAAAAGTAATTGTTCATGGAACAGCCAGTGATGAGAGGAGTGTGGGTAATGCAGGGTCAGTAGCTACCACAGCCAGAATACAGACTTTGGTTCAGGGAGTTCAAGAACCAAGAGAGTTAATGGAGAGCTGTATATCCATTTCCCCTCTCTTTCAGACCACTACCAAGGCTCTGATTAATCTAAGAAGTTTATTTGTGGGGGCGGCCGGTTGGCTCAGGTGGTTAGAGTGCAGTGCTCATAACACCAAGGTTGCCTGTTCGATCCCTGCATGGGCCACTGAGCTGCACCCTCCACAACTAGATTGAAGACAACTACTTGACTTGGAGCTGATGGGTCCTGGAAAAACACAGTTTCCCAATTAAAAAAAATTATGTGTGGACATATAACCTGTACTTGTGCAGTAGTACTACGGGATAGCATAGTGGTCAGAAGCATGGGTGTTTGGATTCAGACATACATGGGTCTGGTTACTACCGCCACTATTTACTAGTGCTGTGATAATGTACAAGTTACAGACCTCTCTGCACCTCAGTTTTATCACCTCTAAAATGGGGATAATAATGCCTTTCTTGTGGGAATTATTATGAGACTTGAATAAGATGATCAGCACATAGTAAGCACTCATTGAATGCCAATTTTAATGATAATGGTGATGATGATGATGATGATGATGATGATAATGATCTGGCTGTTGTAACATTGCTGCTTGGTCTCCAGGCCACTCAGTAAATACTTGCTCTAAGGAACAAATGAACATCAGCTTCCCAGTGGTTCTATGACCATGAAAAAGTCACTTGCTCTGAGGGTCAGTTTTTAAAGCTTCCAATTAGGAAAAATATTCCTAGTTCCAGTGTTAACCAGAGCCGAGGGAAATAGAAAGTATAGATCAACAGGAGTATTCTGTAAGTACAACTTGGTGAGCTCTACCCCTCCTCCCCTGTCACACCCTCATCAGAGCTGCTTCCTGTTTGGACTGATGTGAGCATCTGGATAGCATGATGGTGGATAGAAAGAACAAGGAAATTTGATTCAGAGTTTCATCTACTGTGGTATTTAAGGGGCAGGCAAAGGAAAATAATCCACAGCTTACAGGATGTGTGGATCCTTGGACAAGTCACTTGACCCTTCTGAGACTCAGTTTTCTTGCAGGTGAAATGGGGATGAGACATCAAGAAGATAAAATATAGAATGTGAAAATGCTGTGTGAATTGTAAATGTGTTATATAGAAGTAGTTAGGTGAAATTAAAAGGGAATGACAAAGAAGTAGAAGGCAGTGGCTGACTGTCAGGACCATCAAGGAGAGAGTAACTTGATATGGTCACTGTTGCCCAGTGAAAGCTCTGTAGGGACATGAAATTGAGTTTCTCAATACACTCAAGTTGAATCTGCTCTGGAGGACAGATATTTGTGAACCAAACACATAAGAGATGAATGTGCGAGCCAGAATGTTTATGTATTAGCTTGTGGGGAAACCTACAGTTTTAGTGACTGAAATACCAGAGCCTCTCCATCCTGTTATCAAGGTACCTGGAAAACTGAAGTAGTCACAAAAGGCAGGTTTAGAATAATGGGAGCTGGGTAGTCTTGAGAGAGCGAGATGGTTTACCTTCTCTGCAGGAGGGTGGACCTCTGGGGCCATGAGATATGGCACCAAGGACACTGTTGAATAAACAGTGATGTATTCTCATACTCTGACACCTATTTTCTAAATTCTTTCTTAGGTTACAACTTTTTTTAGTCACATTTCATCTTGTTTTCTTGGTAAGGTCAGACATGAAACAGAGACCAATACAATTTACAGTAAAACTTATCAAAACTTGTAAAGGCACAAGGGCTAAATGAAAACCCTGTGTAAGTCAGTATATAATGTAGAACTAAAGTGAGTAAGATCAAGTGCCCAAATGTGTTAGTATTAGAAAGACAGTAAAGGAAAAATTTGGATTCCTTTCAGTTCAACAAATAGTTCCTGCACACATACCATGTGTCAGGGATGAGGCCAAACATTGGGGTACGATGATGAGTGTGACATGGTCTTGTTCTCAAAGAGCTTAGAGACTTGGGTCATGGGGAGGATGTAAACATGTCATTACAATGCACATGACCCAACACAATGACAGAAACACATACAAGGCATAGAAATGGTACATATGCATGTGAGGGTTATTAAAAGTGGTGCATGGCAGGATTTTAGAGGATAAATAGGAGTTTGTCAGGCAGACAAGGACATTTAAGGCAGAAAAGGACACTCTAGGAAGAAGGAATAATATGGGTAAAAACATGGAAGAGTGAAATTGCATGAAGTATTTGATCATTTGAAGGAACATTTGAAGTTAGTGACAAGAAATGAGCATGAAGAGTTAGTTAGATCCAATCAAGAAGGGCCTTGCAGGCATTCAGTGGAGTCTGGACTGTTGTTTGTGGGTCAGAAGTTCTCAGATGGGGCTTTGGGACCTACTGTCTTATTACAGTCTCAACCTACTATGTACTGGGCCAACAGGAAGGAAAGGGGTTGCCCTACCCCAACAGACTTGACTATCTCCACTCCATTGGGATTTGAATTTCACGTTCTTCAGCAGATAAGCCTTTTGGAATCTGTCTGTGGCTTCTGCCCGTATGCCACAGCCTATGACCCAATATCAGCATTTTGCCCTAACCTTAAGATATCTGCACACACCTCCTCTCCCTGGGTCTAGGCCCTTGTGTCTTCCTCCTAGCATCTCAGCTGGAAGGACAGAATTCTTCCCTTGGTCCACTGGCCAACAGAGCCTTGGGGCTCCCTTTGGGCCATTCTTTTTCTTTGAATGGCTGCAGCATTGCAGCCATCAGTTTGGTGGACATTCTCCCTTCCATAATTGGCCAAAGTTTCTTTCCATAACTGTGTGGCTCTTACACAGCCATCTATCCAATAGAGCACTGGGATTCATCCAACTCTGGAGAAGAACAATCTTTCCACCTTCTCCCTTCCCTACACACTAACTGCATTATCTCCCACAATTCTAGGCCTAAGACAATCATCTAGTGCTCCTGGGAAAACAGCAGAATCCAGCAACTCTTTCTGTAACCTTTGCTTCTCAGATTCTAGTTCAGTTTAGTTCAATTCCACCATGCTGCCCCTTCCCTTGGGAGAGGGTCTTCATTTGCCTTAGGAGGTGGGGGTGGGGGTTCACCAGCCCATAGGAGAGTGAATCCAAAAGATGATCTGGAACAAAAGCCTGTGGGTTTGCATGGAATTTTAGGAACCAAATCCCCAGGACAGACTTCACTGGCATGGGGACTTTCTATGGGTCCCTTTGAGGGACTCTGAGGAAGTCTCATACAACTGGCCAGTTCTATCAAAATGTGTAAATTTTAACAGGGACTTTATGATCATTAATGAAAGTTTCTTTTGAAAAAGAATATTCTTTCTTTAGGTCAGTAATTCTAAAGGTATAAGTCTTATTGACCTCTGTTTTATAACAAAAATTAAAGTAATACACTTTTGCTGCCAAGAAAAGAAAAACATAGATGGTATACTTTACAATCACATATAATTTAAAAGTATCAACGCAATGCCTTAACTGCAACATAAAGGAGACACAAAAGGGAAAAAACTGGTAATAATGTCATATATATTTCACTTTGTAAGTTCTCAGGCAGGACTGTATTAGAAGACACAACGATGCATCAGATGTTTGCACCGACAGGTAGAATTACCATGCATTCAATTATCTCCAAATGCAGGCTGATGCAGATATGCTGTACTGGCAAATTAAATAAAATGAGCAACTTTGCCATTGACAATACAATTTTCCAAAAAGGTGAAAACCCCTGTAAACTCCCTCATGAAAAGAAAATACAGCCTTTTCTTGAGGTATACAGTAGTTGCATTTCTCAGCAACTCAGTACCTCTGAAAACTGAGCACAAATACTTTGCATGTGTATGTGATGTGATGTAGAATATAATGGTTCTGGGCTGAGCCATTATAAATGGTGGAGCTTTCCAAAGTTGTGCAGGGGGGTCAAGTATAATCTGGATCCTACTCACCAAATGTCAGTAACAGCCCCCATATCACAGAGACAAGCAAGAAATGTCTCCACAGAATTTTAAAAGATCCTTTTGGCAGTACTGCTGTTTTGGGACATTTTGTGGCTGGGGACGTTTTTAGAGCCTCCAGGGGAGAATATCAGGTACACATTTTCAGTTGTACTCGTGTGTGTGTGTGTGTGTGTGTGTGTGTGTGTGTGTTTGTGTATTGAGGGGGTGAGGCTGTGGAAAGGCCATATCTCCATCTGAGAGTACATTATGTGAACCCCTGAATTGTGTAAATATTTCCATTAGTTTCCATTTCATTTACCATTAAAGGAACTTGAGAGAGACAGAGAGAGAGAGAGACAGAAAGAGAGAGAGAGAGAGAGAGAGAGAGAGAGAGAGAGAGAGAGAGAGAGAGAGAGAGAGAGAGGTTTGAGAGAGAGGAATCAAGAACAAAATCCCAAGACTGCCTAAGGACCAGACAAAGACAGAGCAATCCGTAATGAGTATTATAAAGGAGTAGCCATGGAAGATGGGAGAAGTGAGAGCACAATGTTATGGAAACCAGGAAGGAAGCAGATTTCAAAAGCAGCCAGGAAAAGAAGTCAAGTGTGAGCGCGTTTCCTGGAGGAACTACATTGAGA